TCTTGCCCCTAGGCAGGCCGTTTTTCCTACCCGCATCGCGCCCCTAGGCAGGCCGTTTTTCCTCCCCGAATCGCGCCCCTAGGCAGGCCGTTTTTCCTACCCGAATTGCGCCCCTAGGCAGGCCGTTTTTCCTGCCCAAATCGCGCCCCTAGGCTGGCCGTTTTTCCTGCCTGAATCGCGCCCCTAGGCAGGCCATTTTTCCTACTCGAATCGCGCCCCTGCTGCTGCCGCTCCAGCCCCTGTTACTGCAGCTACAGCCCTACTGGTGCAGCTACAGCCCTTGCTGCTGCTGCTGCTGCTGCTACAGCCCTTGCTGCTGCTGCTGCTACAGCCCTTGCTGCTGCCGCTACAGCCCCTGCTGCTGCCGCCCCAGCCCCTTGTACTGCAGCTACAGCCCTGCTGGTGCAGCTACAGCCCTTGCTGCTGCCGCTACAGCCCTTGCTGCTGCCGCTACAGCCCTTGCTACTGCCGCTACAGCCCCTGCTGCTGCCTCTCCAGCCCCTGTTACTGCAGCTACAGCCCTGCTGGTGCAGCTACAACCCTTGCTGCTGCTGCTACAGCCCTTGCTGCTGCCGCTACAGCCCTTGCTGCTGCCGCTACAGCCCCTGCTGCTGCCGCTCCAGCCCCTGTTACTGCAGCTACAGCCCTTCTGGTGCAGCTACAGCCCTTGCTGCTGCCGCTACAGCCCTTGCTGCTGCCGCTACAGCCCTTGCTGCTGCCGCCACAGCCCTTGCTGCTACCACTACAGCCCTTGCTGATGCTGCTCAGCGTGCTGCTGCCACTGCTGCATGCGCTGCTGCTGCTACCACTGCTACATGCTCTGCTGCTGCTGCCACTGCTGCATGCTTTGCTTCTCCTGCTAAGTGCTGATACTTAGTGCAGCTGCTGCTACTTGCTGCAACTGTCGCTCCTTGCTGCTGCTGCTCCCTGCTGCTGCTGCTACCCACTGCTGCTGCAACTCCTCTTGCTGCTCCTGCTGTGCGCCTTCTCCTACGTGCTGCTGCTGCTGCTACTTGCTTCAGCTGCTGCTCCTTGCTGCTGCTGCTACTTGCTGCAGCTGTCGCTCCTTGCTGCTGCTGCTCCTTGCTGCCACTGCTCCTTGCTACTGCTGCTGCTGGTGCAGGTGCTGCTGGTGCAGGTGCTGCTGGGAGTGCTGGGAGTGCTGCTGGTGCTGGGGGTGCTGGAGGTGCGACTGGGAGTGCTGGAGGTGTTGCTGGTGCTGGAGGTCTTGGACCTACTACTGACCGTCACTGCCTGTCATGGCCACTATCACGGCAGTTGCAGCAGCTAGGGGTGGACAGTGGCGGTCACTGCCTCTCCCGGACGACCCCACCCCTCAGCAGCTTCGCGAGTGGGTTCTTCAGAGAGCCCGTCCAGGTGGTGGAGGCTTTGGTTTTCTATGTACTGCGCAGAGGCGGCAGCAGAGTCAGCAAGAGACCTTCTCCCCGCAGGTGCTTAGTGAGTTGTTTCCTCAACGATGTGTCACTGGTTCTGTCGAGGCTGCTGCACTAGGTGCTAGTGAGTCTGCTGCCGCACTAGGTGCTAGTGAGTCTGCTGCAGCTTTAGGTGCTCGAGCGTCTCCCGCCACAATTCCTTTCACAGCTGAGGCCTTGCACACTTTCACACTTGACTCAGGCGCGTCACGTTGCTTCTTTCGTGACTGCACCTCACTCACACCACTTGCTGCACCGGTACCGGTCTCACTGGCTGACCCCACTGGGGGCCTAGTAGTCGCGCGAGCCTCCACTGTCCTCTCGTGTCCAGCAGTCCCCTCCGGTTCTTTGTTAGGTCTCCACCTCCCCACGTTCTCGACGAACTTGGTGAGAAACGCTGCCATTCAGGATGTCTGGGTTGATACCTTTATTCCTGGAGGGCAGCGTGTGGCGATCTGTACATGCTCCTGGACTGGCCGTCACCTGGCTACGTTCACTCGACGGCCTGGGTCTAGTCTGTACACACTGACCACTGCGTCTGCACAGGTGGTTGTGGCACGTCAGGTGGCTGTGTCGAGTCAGGTGTCTGCGTCTGGTCAGCTTGCAGCGTCTTGCTCGTGTCGGGTACTCTCCCACCAGACTCTCCTCTGGCACCACCGCCTCGGTCACCCCTCCCTACCGCGTCTCCATAGTATGCACTCCCGTCTCCTTGTCTCTGGCCTTCCCAGGTCCCTGCCCTCCCTCCCGCGCTCGCCTGCCCCGCCGTGCCTTCCCTGCGTCGAGGGGCGGCAGCGCGCCGCTCCTCACTCCTCCGAGTTTCCTCCGACCTCTGCTCCTCTGCAGACTCTCCACATGGACGTTTGGTGGAACGGACCAGGAGCGCTACTTCCTGCTGGTTGTTGACGACTACACACATTACACCACTGTCTTCCCCTTGCGGTGCAAGGCGGACGTCAGCGGTGTTTTGATCCCCTGGATCCGTGCTACTCGTCGTCAGCTGCGCAAGCGGTTCAGTCAGGACTTCCCAGTCCTGCGTCTCCACTCTGACAGGGGCGGTGAGTTCTCTTCTGACCTCCTTGCGGAGTTCTGTCAAGACGAGGGCATCATCCAGTCGTTCACGCTTCCGGCCTCTCCTCAGCAAAATGGGATTGCTGAGCGTCGCATTGGCTTGATCATAGAGGTTGCTTGTACCTCCATGGTCCATGCGGCTGCTCCCCATTTTCTGTGGCCGTTTGTGGTCCGATACGCTGCGCATCAGCTCAACCTCTGGCCACGTGACTCTGAGCCAGAGACCTCGCCCACACTCCGGTGGACGGGGAAGGCTGGCGATGCGTCGGTGTTTCGGGTCTGGGGCACGCTCTCCCTTGTTCGCGATGCCAAAGCGAACAAGCTCTCCTCTCGCACTCTCCGCTGCGTCTTCCTTGGCTTCCCCACCGACGCCCCACCGTGGCAATTTTACCACCCGCGCTCGCGTCGAGTCTTCTCCTCCCATGATGTCCCCTTTGACGAGACTGTCTGTTACTACAGGCTCCACCTGCACGCGTCCCATCCGGTCCCCCTAGCGCCTCTTTTCTTGGTACCAGTCCCCCCCCTCGGTAGACCCCCTCCCCCCACAGGGTCCTGCTCCCTCAGGTGTGTCTCAGGTAGACCCACCCCCCTTGGTTGAGCCTGAGGTCTCTTCTGACTCCTCTAGCCCAGCTGAGGGGGGTGACCCTGCCGCTGACGACACGACGGCCACTCGCCACTCTCCACGCTTGGAGATCCCCCATGGTTTTCCGCCTCGGCCGTCTTCGCTGCCTCTGCAGCCTGCTGCTATGGACTCTGGAGCTGAGACTGCTGGTGCTGAGTCTGGGGGTGCTGAGACAGAGGGTGAGGGTTTTGGGGGTGCTGGTTCTAGGGGTGCTACGACTGGGGGTGCTGGTTCTTAGGGTGCTGCGATTGGGGGTGCTGACTCTGGGGGTCCTGCGAGTCCTAGTGGCGGTGGAGCTGTGGGTGACCCTGCTGGAGGTCCTAGAGCTGGACAGCCACCGCACCCTGACCTACTTGAGACGCTCTCGCCGCAGGCGATTCGTGCGTGGATCGTTCGGCGAGGCAGTCCTGGTGGTGGAGGGTACGGTCCTGCTGGTGCTGGAGCTGCTAGTCCTAGAGATACTGCTGGTGCTGGAGGTACTGGAGGTATTGCTGGTGCTGGAGGTACTGGAGGTACTTCTGGTGCTGGAGGTGCTGCTAGCGCTGGAGGTACTAGAGGTGCTGCTGGTGCTGGAGGTGCCGGAGCTACTAGTCCTAGAGGTGCTACTGGTGCTGCAAGTGCTGGACCTACTAGTCCTGGAGGTACAGCTAGTGCTGGAGGTGCTGGAGGTACTGCTGGTGCTAGAGGCGCTGGAGCTGGAGGTACTGGAGGTGCTGGAGCTGCTGGTCCTGGAGGTGCTCGTACTGGAGGTGCTGGAACTGCCGGAGCTGGTGGTGCTGTTCGAGCTGGAGGTCCTCCTAGAGCTGCTGGCAGTGGAGGTACTGCAGGTGCTGCTAGTGCTAGAGGTACTAGAGGTGCTGCTGGTGCTGGAGGTGCCAAAGCTACTAGTCCTAGAGGTGCTACTGGTGATGCAGGTGCTGGACCTACTAGTCCTGGAGGTATAGCTAGTGCTGGAGGTGCTGGAGGTACTGTTGGTGCTAGAGGCACTGGAGCTGGAGGTAATGGAGGTGCTGGAGCTGCTGGTCCTGGAGGGGCTCGTAGTGGAGGTGCTGGAGCTGGTGGTGCTGTTAGAGCTGGAGGTCCTACTGGAGCTGCTGGCAGTGGAGGTACTGGAGGTGCTGCTGGTGCTGGAGCTGCCGGAGCAGGTGGTACTGCTGGTGCTAGAGGTGCTGGAGGTGCTACAGGAGCTGCTGGCACTGGAGGTGTTGGAGATACTACTGGTGCTAGAGGTCCTCGCGCTGCCGGAGCTAGTGGTGCTGCTGGTGCTAGAGGTGCTGGGGGTGCTGCTGGAGCTGCTGGTGCTGGAGGTGCTGGTGCTGCTGGTGCTGGAGGAGCTGGAGGTGCTGGTACTACCCTGCGCAGACCGTTTTTCTACCCGCAGCCGCAGTCGTCCCTGCCGCTGCCTGACTCGGTCCTTCGCCAGGTTCTTAGTCTCCCGTCTTCCACTGGCCTCCCTCTACCCCTCCTGTGTCCACCGACAGACCAGTCTCAGCCATAGCTACTGCCTGGCTCCCCGCTGCCTGTGCCTGCTCCTCACACTGAGGTGACTGAGTCCCTGACTGAGCGTCGTGAGCCTGAGACTTGTGCTTCCACACCTGTTCGTGCTCGTCGTATCGCCCGTCCACGTCCTCCTGCTGTCCCAGGCACTCACGGTATGGAAGGAGCATGGAGGGAAGAAACTAGTGAACGATGGTGGGGAAGCATTGCAAGGGGGCCACCCTGGCCTGCTAGCTTGGTGGGGTCCACCGTGACCTGCATGTCTGACAGCCTGGTGGGGAGAAGGGATGGAGGGAGGTGTTGGGGGGAATCACGGGGGGGTTGAGTGAATGGAGGTTGTTGGGGGTCCATGATGTGGGGGAAGCACGGAGAAGCATAGGCTATTGCTCGCTGGGAAGCTTGGTGGGGTCCAGCGTGACTTGCATGTCCGCCAGCCTGATGGGGCAAGGGGGATGGAGGGAGGTGATGGGGGATTTGTGGGAAGGGAAGCGCGCCAATGTACTCTGCATGCAGGGAACTTTTGGGGAAACTTGGTGAGAGAGGGAGCGAGGTGAACGGGAGGGGGCGGGGGGAGCATGGTGAATGAATGCTTGCTGAGGACATTCTGAGAAATATCATTAACCTGCCTTTTGGATTGCCTTGGGGTAAGAAGAGGTTTGGATTTTTCTGATGAGGAACGTTGAAAGGTTATGGACAACTACACTGCTTGCTTCTATTTATTCTTCTTAAATCAGCAGTAGCTCATCAGGCAGGTTACCAGGAAAGATGTTATGCAATCAGCAATACAATGATGCACGGAACCAAAGGGAAATTTATGGTAGTGAGAGCATTAAGAGTGTTGATATAAAAAAAAAAGAGATCGGATTCTTGGTTTGTCCATACACTCGGCCCTAGGAGTTTCACTCACTTGAACGCAGCGCCGATGGCGTTGTGGCGAGTCTTCATCGCGTGGTTGGACTCCTTGGCCGCATTCACGAAGTTCGGAATGCCCAGCATCACCGTCATGCCCGGCGGCACTTGCGCGCTCGTGTAGTAGGTATAGCTGATGGGAGAGTTTTTAGATTTTGGGAGGGAAGGGAGGGATGGGAGTGGCAGGTTTTGGATATATATTCAGATAAGCATTTCTACTCGATTTGCAGCATAAAGGAATGGAGAGAATTTGGAAAGATTCATTTTTTAATCAACTGACCCTTTGATTTAGCTATCCGTAAGCAAAAAAAGAATGGATTTTAGCTTGACAAAGATAACTGTGACACAAAACGTGAAGCTGCGATTCGGAACAATGGAAGTACCCGTTACAGCTCCAGTACACCACATACCCGATACACTGCAGGAACGCGACGCCAAACGCCTCGCCCTTGAGCTCATCCACCTGCTTCACGACGTCGCGCACAAACCCTTCTTCGTCGCCTGACATCCACGGCCCCAGCCGCTTGAGCAGAATCGCCGCGAGCTCCTTCTCTCTCTTCGTCTGCCACCTCTTCACCTCCTCCACCGTTGGATTCCCCCCCGCCGTGTCCGCGGTAGTGAGCTCCCCGACAAGCGGCTTGAACTTCTCCGCGCCGAAGGACATGGTGAAGAAATATCCGGGATCCATAAAGGTCCCGTCGAGCGCGGTGCGGCCGTAACGGTCGTACTTCTCGCGCGACTCGGGGTCCATGAGGACTTGGTACGCCTCGCCGATGGCTTGGAACTTGGCCTTGGCGGCTTCGTCGTCAGGGACCTTGTCGGGATGGAACGTATGCGCTAGCTTCGGACGCAATTCAACGTGCGAGCGACAAAGGGGGTACAGTGCGTGGAAAGGCGGAGACGGAAAGATGGGTTGAGGAAGGGATGAATGTTGTCCTAACGTCTAGTATGATAACACGCATGGCGGTTTGGAGGCGCTTCTTGGGGCGGGACGGGTTTTTCACTTCATAATTTCCTTCTTTTCACCCATTTTACCCCGATATAAGCGACTTGGCGAGTCCCCCCCCTCATTCCTTCCTCCGCCGGCACTTTCATCACCACGCACCTTGTAATACGCCTTCTTGATCGCCGCAGACATCGCGTCAGTCTTGAGGCACCTCAAAACTCCCTCCCTCCCTGATTCCACCACGCACCTTAAAGTACGCCTTCTTGATCTCCGCGAACGTCGCGTCGGTCTTGAGGCACCTCAAATCTCCCTCCCTCCCTTACACCATCACGCACCTTAAAGTACGCCTTCTTGATCTCCGCGGACGTCGCGTCGGTCGACACCTCAAGAGCCACATACAGCTCCTCCTCCTTCACCTCCCGCTTCTCCCGTTTTTCCGCTGCCGCCGCCACCGCGGCTTCGGAAGGTTCCGCGGACTTCGCGGTGGATTTCGCGGCGGATTTCGCGGCGGATTTCGCGGCTTCGTCTTCGAGTGCGACCTTCTCAACAGCTTCGCGCGTGTGCGAGTATATCTCTTCGTTGAGCTTATCCGCTTCGGCATCCTCCACTACCTCCGCTTTCTCCGCCTCCTCCTCGCACTTATCCTTCATCATCTCCCGAATCGCGTCGGGAGTGTTCTTAATCCCTTCTTGTCAGAATCCCAACCACTAGACCATTGGGATAAAAGGGCTTGTTAAGTAGCGGGTGAGTGCGCCCATAACCCCCCAGGCGAACGCGCCTGTAACCCCCCTTGGATCAATCGGGCATCCATAGTGCAGATCTACTGACACCCCCCCACACTGGGAGGCCGAGGACTGAGCACAGCGGCAACGGCCTACATGTGCATACACCGGGATTCGAACCCGAGACCACTCTAACACCATGTCAGAATCCCAGTCACTAGACCATTGGGATGGAAGGGCTTGTTAAGTAGCGGGTCTGTGCGCCCATAACCCCCCAGGACTAGCGAGCCTGTAACCCTTCCCTAGGATCAATCGGGGATCACCAGTGGACCTCTGACACACTTCTCCCAGCTGCCGCACGCCTTGCACGATTCCAACGGTCGGCAAAACGACGGCACCTGCAACCCCCAGAAACGTTCCCTTGATTAGCCCGACACCGCCGCCTTATATTCTGACATGCCTTGCTGCACGAGCCCCGCGACCGGCGCCACGATGAGCCCTCCGACGCCGGCGAACACGCCCTTACCGAAGGACACCAATCCCTTGCCGAGGCCTTGGCAAAAGTTCTTCACATTGCGATCGCCGTACAGCTGGTCGATGCGCTCCTGAACCTCCGGGAGGGTCATCTTCTGAAACTCGGTCATGGTTGGAGGAGGGGGACCGGAATCCATACCCGGAATTTTGTGAATCTCTTCCATGGTGGGGGAGGAGCGGAACCGGTAAGTTAGAAACTAGACTGGTGACAGCAGAAATGGAATAGGGAAGCACGGGAGGAGGGCATGGAAAATTGGGAAACGAGTAATGGAATGGAATGGTGCAGAAATTTTCCTTTCTTGGCAAATTCGGCAAACACATTCGATTAGGTTGAAGACCGCACAGAGAGTTTTATCCAAGTTACGGTGCTTTGCAGTACGGTGGCGGTTCCAAAAGCTCTCAGCCATGCGGATTTCAGCGACCAATCACGTCGCAGTTCACCACGAAGCGCGCGTGATTCCATCGCCTCCTCAAACAATGGAGAGGGGGCATCATCATCGTGAATTTGGGGGTACCTGTAGCTTGTCGTCACTCGCATTCTGTTCTGATATTGGTATCCACATGTTTTTCTCCTGAAATGTCTAAAAAAACGTTTATCACTAGCAAAGATGCATGAACTGCTGATTGGCATTCTCATACCTATATTTACCTCAACAGCATCGATTCACAGGCTGAGCAGGAAAGCAAGACGGGAATTTCTTTAGTTAAAAAAACAACAACGTTTGAAAACAATTGTAAAACCATCTGAAAAAAAAAATCAAATGAAAGAAACTACATGACAAACCTTGAAACCTAACATCCTTACGGTACATGCTTGCTTACGGGTCACGAGTCACGACCCAGTTCCTCCCCTAAAAAACCTGCCAAATGGATTAAACATGGCCATTCGCTGCTGCTGCTGTCTCTCAGTAGCAGCCCTCAGCCTCTCTTCCCGTTTATTATGTAACTCTTCTGTCTGCTCTCTCAACCGTTCCTTACCTCCTTGTCCCTTCCCTCGCCCCCCACGCATCTCCCCTCTCCCTCTTGCAGCAGCGGAACGTGGTGCTGACGTGGCGTGAAGACGTTTCAGCCGGCACGACTCGTCTTGTTGCTGCTGTTTCCTGGATGCTTCTAGTGTGAGAAGCTGGGTACAGGGAGGAAGGAGAAAAACCAAGGGCAAAATTCAAAAGGGGATAAGGGTAGAGACGATCCAAGCTGCAATGACTGACGAAAGTTGCTGAAAGTGAGCTGGCATGAGGACATGCCAAACACACATGCGTAGTTGGCATGAGGACATGCCAAAACACATGCTTTGCACGAATACATGCATGCATGTGCACATGCACACATCACTGCCGCACACAGATAGAACCTCGAAACAGATCACGACAGCACATAGGAAAGTTCGAATTCCATAATACAGAACTTGATAACACAGAATTTCACCATGTCACTACAGCTCACCCTTGCGCATATCGAGGATGAGGACAAAGAGGATGCTGCAGCAGAGGTCCCACCAGCCGCAGCCGACGGTGCTACCGACGCCCCTCCTGCCCCTCGCATCCCTCCATCCCTCTCCTCTGGTGCCTCCAGCAGAGCAGCAGCCAACCCACTGCCCCCACCCACTCCTAGAGCACCAGAAGTGGCGGCATGAGCAGCAGAAGAGGCGGCATTGGCAGCAGGAGGAGCAGCGGGAGAGGAGAGGTGCGAGGGGGCAAGGCGGGTGGCAGAGGCGCCGCAGGCAGGGCACTGGTGGGCAGGTGGAAAGAAGAAGCTGTCGTGGTGGCGCCGCTGCAAGCACTCCCTGTGAAACCCATGCCCACATAAAAACACCTCCACTGGTGCACCCGCTGCTGCTGATCTTTTCCCTGCTGCTGCTGCTGCTGCTGCGGCGGCTGCAGCTGCGGCTGATAACGCTGCTGCTGCTGCAGCTGCTGTGGCTGGCAATCGTGGTAGTAGCAGCGGGGATGGTGGTGGTGCTGCTGCTGCTCCTCTAGCAGTTGAAGCTGGGGCGTACAGGGCAGTGGAGCAGAGGCGGCAGGAGCGGGAGGAGGGGTGGGTGGGGTGCTGAAGAAGGGAGAGCAGGGAGGAGCAGTGGGAGAAGGAATCTGTATTGGCTGCCCGGGAAGCAGCAGCCAATAGCTGCTGATCCGACCCTGCCCAGCTTAAAATCTCCAGAAGCCCTCCTACCACGTCCCCTGCTGTCCTCGATACCCCCTCCCTCCTGCCTCCGCCCATCCTCGCACCTCCTTCGTCCGACCCCATACCCCAGCCGCCGCTCACCCCTGTATCCCTTAGGGATGCTTTTTGAGAGTCGTGAGAAATCTTTGCCTGCAGTAGATCTCTCCCTCCTTCCTCGCCTCTTTTCATGAGTCCTCGCTCCCCTTCCCCGTCTCTCTGCCTCTCGCCAGCACCAAGAAGCCAGGCAGAAATGACTGGCAGAGGAACCATCCCTGCCATCTCTCCTACAGTGGCCGTTGCGCAGCACTGTAGCAGGAACCGGACAGCAAATAGAATCAAATCGCAGGCTTCTGGACGGCTTTCCTCCTGCCGCCTCTGTTTTTCCTGCTGCTGCTGTTGCTGCTGCTCTTGTTCCTGCTCCTTATCCCTATCTCTTTTCTGCTGCTGCTGCTGCTCCCGAAGCAGCAAAAGCACGTGAGAGCAAGAAACAAAGAGCGGGGGTGGAGGAGGAGGGAAGACCGACTGCGGCAGCGACGGTGCCGGAAACGAGCTCAGCACAGACGGAGCAGCCCCCAGCTGACCATTTTCACCTGAAATTTCACCTGAGGAATCACCTGCAGGGAACTGCACCCCGCTCCTGCCTGCCGCTGCTGCGCCAGACGCCCCTGTGACTGTAAGGAGGTGTGAGTAGAGCGAGTGCCAGCGGTTGGGGGGTGTGTGTGATGGGGAGGGATGTGGTGGTGGGATGGCTGGTGGCGCAGATGGGATGGGGAGGGCCCTGAGGGGGATGAGAAAGCTGTTAGGGGAAGGCAGTGGGGAATGAAAAAGGAGGAGAAGAAAAAGGTAGAAATACATTGAGGGCAATGAGGAGGCAAGACGGTCATAATGGAGTTTGATCGGTGCTTGTGAGTGAGTGGAAAATATGATCCAGCCGTCCATTTCGAGATGCCTTTTTTTTTTTTTTTTTCTTTTTTTTTTTTTTTTTTCTTTTCTTTGGTTATGCTTCACCTGTGTTTTTCACAATATAGAATAAACTGCATCAACATCACAACTACTGAAGTTGATGGAAGTAAGGCCTCCGCAGCCCACCTGTCCATTGTTGTCAAGTCCTGCATCAACATCAGCGTCCATCCACTATAATCACACTCCCACATGCATCGCTCACATTTGTCACACTTCTACCAACCACACAAGAGAGGAGGACACGGCATACGCATATGCAGCTGCCGCATTTGTCATTCGGCACAAGGATAACATACCCCAAGTTATGGAGCTTATTGGACGCGAGATGGTGGCGACACTGGAGGGGTGCATCCAAGTGATATAAGTGTAGTTTTGAGATGTCTCAAAATTACACTTGTGTCACAAGATGGCGTACTCGAGGGGTGCATGGCACACCGTCTCGTCTTGGATGCACCCTGAGTGTTGCCGCCATCTCGCTTCCAAAAAGCTCCATGACTTGGGGTATGTTATCCTTGTGCCGAATGACAAATGTGGCAGCTGTGCATGCATATGCCCTGTCCCTCAAAACCTCATATTTTACGTTTCTTGATTTCACCCTCCCATGTCTCCCACCCACCAATCCAGCAGCGTTCGCCACATGACACGGCACTGCCAGTGCGGCAGCCCGCGTGTGCTGCTAGCACAGAGAGCTGCTGCTAGCACCATCACACCAAAATGCCACCACTGCACTTCATCCCTCCCACTCTCATCACTCACACTCCCAACAGTCACACTCACTAGTAAAGCAGCATCCCCCACATGTCACGGCACTGTTAGTCGGGAAGCCTGCATGTGCTGCGCGCACAGACACCTGCTGCTAGCCCCCCCACACAGTAATACCACCACTGCGCCATGCTCATCCCAACCAACCACTTCAATCGATCACTCTTCCACAATCACACAGTAACCCACCATTCAAGCAGCGTTCGCCACATGGCACGGCACTGCCAGTGCGGCAACCTGCGTGTGCTCCTAGCACAGAAGCTGCTGCTAGCACCATCACACCGAAATGCCACCACTGCGCTTCATCCCTCCCACTCTCATCACTCCCACTCTCATCACACACACTCCCAGCAGTCACAGCCACTAGTCCAGCAGCATCCCCCACATGACACGGCACTGCCAGTGGGGCAGCCGCATGTGCTAGTGCACATGCGGCACACATACACCTGCTGCTAGCACCACCACACTGTAACACCTCCAATTCTTCATCTCTTCCACTCCCGTCAATCCCTCTCCCACGATCACACAGCACAGCACTTACCGGTCGTGAAAGGTTCCCCACATGGCATGGCACAGCACTGCCAGTGCGGCAACCTGCATTTGAGAATTCTCAAAAGTGATGCGCACACTGCACAGTTGCCTGCTGGTAGCACCACCATACCCACAGCAATACCACCACTAATGCATGTTATCTCCCCCTATCTCATTTCCCACACCCTGTCACCCACCAGTCAAGCAGCGTCCGCCACATGGCGCGGCACTGCCAGTGGGGCAGCCTGCCTGTGCTGCGCGCACAGACACCTGCTGTTGGCACCACTACACAGTAACACCTGAACCCAATCATTCGTCTCCCCCACTCCCAACACTCACACACCCTGCCAGCCACCAGTCAAGGAGGGTACGCCACATAGCACGGCACTGCCAGTGGGGCAGCCTGCCTGTGCTGCGCCTTTGTCCCTCCCTCCCTCTCTCATATTTCACACTCCCACAATCACACCCTGCCACCCACCAGTCAAGGAGAGTCCGCCACATGGCACGGCACTGCCAGTGCGGCAGCCTGCCTGTGCTGCGTGCACAGAGAGCCAGTGCCTCGTGCTGTATGGCCAGTAGCACTCGCACCTGGGGGGGAGAGCAATGTGAGGAGAGAGTGGAGAAGCGCGAGGAGGGGCATTTAAGTTGAGTCAATAGAGGAAACATGAAAGAAACATGATACGCACGTTATGCAGACGACAAGACATGGCATGAATGGATGATTTTGATATGAATTAGCATGAATAAACATGATTTATTGGAATACAAGTGACATAGGATATGAATGATGGGGCGTGTGATGTTTGAAATGAAACAATGCATGAACGATGTGCAGTATGAATGAACATGAACGAGTGAATTATGAGTGAGATAGGATATGAATGCGTGTGATGTGTTACATACGAATCTCTCACCTCTTCCATCTGCAGCACTCGTGTCATCAACCCGCCACTCTCCTTCTTCCTCATCCGCTTCCTCCTCCTCTTCCCGTCCTCCTTTCCTTGCTCCAAACCCGACCTTCCCCTCATGTCAGCCCTCATTTCGCTTCCACTTTCACTCTCTCCCCTCATCCCCACCTCAATCTCGCCCCTCCTCTCAACCTCACTCTCAAACCCCTCAGCAGTTGTCCCCGCTATAGTCCTCCCCAAGACCTCCATCCTCCTCTTGCTCCTCCTCGCCCTCATCATCATCCCAGCAACCCTCCAATCCAGAGCGCGCAGGCAGCAGTGCAATTCCACCAGCAGCAGCGCCAGCGCCTCATAAACCAACCCCATTCGCTCCAGCAGCACCCGCGCCGCAGCGCTGATGTGGCAGTTCAGGACTGGCTCTCCCCCCGCCTGCTGACGTGGCGCCTGCGGAGGCGCACTCTGCTGACCTGGCACGGGCTGACGTGGCAGCGCGGCGAGCGCCGGGGAGATGTGCGCGAGGCAGACGCGGAGGCAGCGGTCGAGGCGACAGGTGGCGAGAGGCGATTGGAGGAAGGGCAGCAGGGCGGGAGGGTCATAGATGCAGAGCAGCTCGATATAAAGCTCGACCATTCGTGGGGATGCTGCTGCTGCTAGCTGTCTCCTCTGCTCCTCCCACCCCTCCATCCCCAACCCAGCATCCCCTCCTTTTCGTTCGGATTCCTCTTGCAGTGGTGCTGCAGCAGCAGCAGCAACTGCTGCTCCTTCCCCTGCTGCAGTTTTTGAAACTCCTGGTGCTGCGTGTGGGCCTGCTGATGGTGATACAACTGCCGCTGCCGGCAGCAATGGGAGCAGCAGCAGCGGAGGAGGAGGAGGATGCGAATGGGAGGAGAAGAGGGCACGGAGCAGGGCAAACTGCAGCTGCGGCCGGCCGGCAAGATCCGCACTCACAATCAAATCTAGATCCAGTCGCAGCAGCCCCAGCGCCACATACAGACAAGTGCTGCCGTCCAGCCGCACCAGCTGCGCCAGGTGGCGCCTGACGGCCAATCGCAGCGCAGCACCCTCCTCCCCACCCACCACCCCGTGCCTACGGGTAAGAGCGAGAGCTGCCTTTTGGATGAGGCGAAAGGGCATGTCAGGGTGGTGGGTGTCTGTGAGGAGCGAGGAGAGCGCTTGGTGAATGCCAAGCATGCCGTGTGTTCGCATGAAGAGACGCGCACACACCTGGTTGGAAGGGTGAGGGGAGGAAAGTGGGGAGAGGGAAGTTGGCATGTGACTAGTCAGAGGGGGGGGAGGAGAGCGCTTGGTGAATGCCAAGCATGCCGTGTGTGCGCATGAAGAGACGCGCACACACCTGGTTGGGGGCGTGGGGGGTGGTGGGGAAAGAGGAGAAGAAGAAGGGGGAAGGGAGTAGGAATTTGACTGGCCAAAGGGGAGACGGAGGAAGGAGAAAGCATGGTGAATGCCAAGCATGGTGAATGCCGAGCATGGTGAATGCCAAGCATGGTGAATGCCGAGCATGGTGAATGCCAAGCATGGTGAATGCCGAGCATGGTGAATGCCGAGCATGCCGTGTGTGCACAGGAATAGACGCAGAGCCATTATGAGGCTCTGCGTTTGAGACGTCTCAAAGCCATTATCAGGCTCTGTATCCACTCCTCCCTATCACCCTGTCTCTCACTCCCTCTTTCTCTCACCCCCTCGCCCTCACCTGGTGGAACCCAGCTTGCAGCACGAGGGGCAGGGCAGGAGAACATTGAAGTCCACACCACAGGAGTCTGGCAGAGATACCCCATCACCAGCCCCTCCATCGCTCCTCCCTCTGCCTCCTATCCCCTTGCCCATCTCAGTTTAGAGCAGCGGTCAGCTCACCTGGTGAAACCCAGCTTGAAGAGACAAGGGCAGGAGGGCGTTAAATTCCACCCCACAGGAGTCCGGCAGAGCCATCACCAGCCCCTCCATCAGTTTCCCCTCAGCACCCTGTCTGTCGCCCCCTTCACCTCCTCCCTTACACCTACTCTCCATTCCCATTCACCTGGTGAAACCCAGCTTGAAGAGCCAGGGGCAGGAGGGCGTTGAAATCCGCACCGCAGGAGCCTTTTGAGCCATCACCAGCCCCTCCATCTGCTCCCCTCCATCACCCTGTCTCTCATCCCCTCTTTCTCTTGCCCCATCGCTCCTCACCTCCCCACCCACCCTCACCTGGTGAAACCCAGCTTGCAGCGCCAAGGGCAAAAGAGCGTTGAAATCAACACCACAGGAGCCCGGTAGTGCCGTCACCAGCCCCTCCATCCGCTCCTCCCTCTGAGCCCGCCTCACAGAGGGGGAGGGGAGAGCGAGCGAGGGGCGAGAGGGGGGTGACGATGGGGAGGAGGAGGAATGCTGCTTCTGTACAGCTCCCTTACTCGCAGCAGGAGCACCAGCACCAGCACCAGCAGTGGAATCGGCAGCAGTGGCAGAGGAAGTGGGCAGGGCGTGCAGATCAAATGAGACAGTAGCGGATGTGAGATAAACGAAGATGGTGATGAGGGAGAGCCTGTCTAGTTCTACTCTCCCTGCGGCTGCTGCCTCTGCCACCAGCTCTAGCACCCTGCCTGCTGCATCCCCGAGCCTATCTATGCCCAAGCCTAGTCCCAGACCTACATCCGAGCCTTGCTCCGAACCTGCTTCCGAACCTGCTGCTGCTGTAGAGGCCACTCTAGAGCTTGTAAGTTTCGCTGCTGGTGGTGGTAACCCTACAGCTACAGCGACGCTTGCTCCCTTATTGGAGTCCTCGTTACTCCTTATTGCATCTCCAGCCTCGCACCAGGAGCGCACTATTTCTAGTAAAGTGTAAACAAGTCTACCACCAGCGGCTGGATCTACAGTAGCATCCTCGTTATAAGCTGCACCCGCACCCCTACCATTCACCAGCGTCGAATCCTCGCTCATTATGGGCTGCTCTGTACTCGTTTGTGGCTGATCCAGTATGGACACAGAGCGGAGAATCACGCGCAATACAGACAGAGTGGCGCGGGGATCGAAGGAGAGGAGCCGAGCGAGGGGCGAGCAGAGGAGGGCGTGGGAGGAGGGGGAGAGCGAGGAGGGGCGGTGGTGGGGTGGGCGGTGGGGTTTGAGGAGAAAGTTGAGGAGTTCGGCTTGTGCTGAGGGCAGGAGAGACGGGGAGATGGCGCCGCTGCCTGTGGGAGATGAACAGAGGGATGGTGTGAGGGGAAGAAGGGGGGAAGGGGGTGATACAGGGGTGTAAAAGGAAAGAATGAAGGTGGATGGGAGGGAAGGCCTAGAGAAAGAGACGGGTGTAATTACCTGGAGGGAAGTTGAGGCCAGAAAAGGTGAGCTTGAGGAAGAGCAGCAAGCGGTAGCTGAGGTGAGAAAGAGAAAGAGAGGAGGACAAATGGGACAGAAGGCAGGATTAGTACGAGGGAATCGGGGAATGGGAGAGGGGAGAGAATTGCAGACGGAGAAAAGCAAGGTAAGTGAGCCAACCACCAGCCTCTTCATTGATCGAGGTCTCATTGGGGAACGAGGGACGAGGTGACATTTGAGCACCCTTCGTAAATGGTCAGAAGGCAGCACGTGGTGGACGAGTGATAGAGAGAGAGGGCAAAGCTGGTCTGGTGAGGTGAGGTGCCTTCTGACTGCAGCACAACTAAAATATAAAGACGAAAGAACAGTGAGCAGGTGGGTGGAGGGATGGCAGGGAGAGCATGACTGAGAACGTGACCACACCCATTTTGGCTTGGATTGCTTTTGAGACATGTTCTTTAGGTGATACATGTCATGTCATCTCACTCCTCCTCGAAAACCTCTCTTATACCACATTTCTGTCACAAAATTTGCAAGCTGCTTGGGGCATGAAGAAACCAACTCACCCGCACTCGCGGCCCTCCTCCCTCTCCTCCTTATTCTCCCCCTCCTGCTTCTTATGCCGCTGCTTCTCCCTACTCCTCTCTCCCCCAAACCCATGCCCGTGAGCTTTGGAGGAGGAGGAGGAGGCGAGGAGGGTGGAGAGGAGCTGCTGGGCTGGCGAGACGAAATCCGCGAGGGCGCGAGTAAAGAGGTAGATGAGGGCAGAGTGCAGGTTGTGCTGACGACACACACGCACCACCTGGGAGGAAATTCACATTGGGGAAAGGAGGGCGGAGAGAAAGGGAGACGCAAACATGGGTGCCCATGTGAAGAGGTAGATGAGGGCAGAGTGCAGGCTGTGCTGACGACACAGGCGCGCCACCTGAGAGGGATGGGGATCAGAAGAAGGGGAGTGGAGAAAAAGGAATAGTGTAATGGCGTGTGCACTGTGCACTGTGCTGAGGGGGACTAGCCCTGTCTCAACACGCTACCACAAGGGGAAGGTTTCATGTCATGCCATCTGTGTGTGTGTGTGTGGTTGCGTGCGTGCGTGAGTGAGGGTGTGTGCGTGCATGTGTGCGTGCGTGCGTGCGTGCGTGCGTGCGTGCGTGCGTGTGTGTGTGTGTGTGTGTGTGTGTGTGTGTGTGTGTGTGTGTGTGCGTGCGTGCGTGCGTGTGTGTGTGTGTGTGTGCGCGCGCGTGCACGTGCGTGTGTGTGTGTGTGTGTGTGCGTGTGTGCGTGCGTGCGTGCGTGTGTGTGTGTGTGTGTGTGCGTGTGTGCGTGCGTGCGTGCGTGTGTGTGTGTGTATGTGTGTGTGTGTGTATGTGTGTGTGTGTGTATGTGTGTGTGTGTGTATGTGTATGTGTGCGTGCGTGTGTGTGCTTCTTCCTTCGTTCCTTCCATCCTTCGTTTCTTCCTTCATTCCTTCATTTCTTTCCATCCATTTGATCACACCTGGTTGATGTCAAGCGAGGCAATGTCCATGTGAAGCACACACTGCTGCACGCGTGACAGCCATCCCCTCTCACTGTAATGCTCCACCAATGCTTGCATCACCTGGTGGGGGCGACAGAAGTGGAGAGAGAGAAAAGCACACACAGCAGATAAGAGACAGAGCATGTTGACCAGAAATTAGGAGGGCACACAAAAGCGCAAAAATGAACAAAACACCCATACTATCATCACCAGACTAACACAGGTTCTCGCACTCACTGCGTGCCACTACTGCGCACGTCCCTCACCTGCCATTTAGGATTACCACACAAAAACAGGTGCTTCTCAGAAGGTGGTACCTCAGGAGGGAGCGTGCTGAGGTGGTCTGTGAGGATGTAGGGCTCCAGCAGCTCGAGAAAGATGCCTGCAGGGAGCAGAGAGCAGAGGCGGAGGGTGGGTGGGGTAGTAAAGAGACTGGTGTGAGTGAACGAGCTCGTCACAACAAGTCACCTCTGCAAAGATGCAGGGCTGCAATTTGAGAATTCTGAGAGATGGAGGGCTGCAGCAGCTCCAGGGAGATGCCTGCAGGCAGTAGAGGCAGGGGGTTGTTGGGGAAGGGAAAGATGTCAATGTACCAGGCGAGTCACAACAAGTCACCTCTGTGTGAGGATGCTGGGCTCTAGGAGCTCCAGGAAGGTGCCTGCATGGAGCAGTGGTGGGGCAGTGGGGGGTGAGAAACCGCGAGATGAGCTTTGAGAGTTGAGAGTCGACTCTGAGGTAAATGTCGACATTTACCTCAGAGTCGACTCTGAGGAGCTCTCAAAGCTCATCTCGCGGAGCTCTCAAAGCTCTCAACTCAACAGTCCCGGAGCTCCCGGACTGTTGAGTTGAGAGTCGACTCTGAGGTAAATGTCGACATTTACCTTGCAGTCGACTCTCAGATGAACAGGCTCCGGGAGCTTCCAGGAGCTTAAGGAAGATTCTCGCTTCCCCTTCGATTCCACCTCACTGCCCTCGGTGGATAGATTGGTCTAGCAAGCATGGGACCCAAAACAGCACGTGCACTCTCTGCAGCACGTGCACTCTCTGCAGCACGTGCACTCTCTGCAGCACGTGCACTCTCTGCACCACGTTCAGGCACACCCCAATCCGCATCCCCACACAGTGCTACCCCTCCCACCTCCCCACCCATCTCACCTCTTTACCTCCTCTCACCTCCCTATCCCCTCTCACCTCGCTGCCCTCTCTGAGTGAACTTATCAAACACGGCCCCGAACAGCAGGGGCAGCTGGCACACGCGGATGCAGAACTCTATCGCCACCCCGCCCACCCGCACATACTCCTCCCTCTGCTCCCCTCCCGCTGCCCCTGCTGCTACCACTGCTGCTGCTGCTGCCGCTGCCGACACTGCTGCTGCTCCTCCTGCTGCTATCCTTGCAGAATCGGACATCTCAGCTGCTGTTGTGTGGAGATGGCTTCTGGACGAGTTTGGGTGGCGGGGTGACGATTCCGGACTGGCATTTACTGGACTGAGCGACACAGGGCTTAGAACCGCTGGGCTAAGTGTTTTCGGGTTAAGCGCTGCTGCGCTTTGCTTTAAGTACGAGAACACCTGCTCAATGTATGCTAAGAGGAGAGCTCCCATTTCGGCTGCTAGCTCCTCCGGGTCGCATGGTAACCCTGTTACGCCCACCGCCCTCCCCTGGTAAATTTCCATTGCAGTGTGCAGCGCATTCATCCAGTCGCCGGCCGCTTCCAGAGATTTGATTCTCTCCTTCCAAGACAGTAAGTGCGCCCGCACCACCATGCCGCCCCCTTGCAAGAGGACAAACGCCGCCGCCCCGCTGCTCCAGGCAGCGACGCTGTTCTGGAACGAGGGGATCGGGCGACCGCTGCGAGACAAAAAAGGGTGGAAGACCAGGCCGAAACGGCCGTGGCCGGCGGCACTGTAGCTGCTGTAATCTGAGTCCGATTCGTAGTGTAGCAAGGGCTGGCACTTGATTGGCTGGCCGCCCAGCGAGAAAAGACAAAAATGCTCCGAGGCTGTGAGGATGAGGAGAACCTGATGTGAGGCAAGGGCAGGAAGAAACGAAAGCGAGAGGTAGGGGAATATGGAAGGGTTAGGTAGTTGAGGAGGGATGGAGATGGAGGGAAGACGAAATGGCGCTGGCAGGGGCGGTAGATACACGGGATAGGGCCAAGTGGCTTGGTCTCTGCTGGTGTGTGCAATGCAGCGTAACCCCATGCCCATGCCCATGCCCATGCCCATGCCCATGCCCATGCCCATGTGCCCATGCTCACACCCGTACTAACACCCACAGCATGCGCATGTGGTGCACGTACCTGGTGGTCCAGCCATGCGAGGCCAGCGACAGTGGAGTGCACATCCCAGCGGTGGATCACCTCCACGCTCCGCCATGACCATGCCCTTGAAGCTAGGTCTTCCAAAGATGAGATTTCTCATACCACATGCCTTGCCTACACCCCACGCCCTGCCAGCCATTGACATACCTGGTGGTCCAGCCACGCTAGGCCAGCAACAGTGGAGTGCACGTCCCAGCGGTGAATGACCTCCATGCTCCGCCCAAACACACTCACCACCAGCACCACCCGCCCCCACCCCAACGCAAACACCTTCTCCTGCACCCACGGCCCCCGCGCTGCTGCTCCTGTGGCTGCCCCCCCTGCTCCCCCCCTTGCTGCTGATGATGGTGGTGGCGGTGGTGGTGATGACCGGAGTGACGCTGATACAGATCTATCATTAATTCCTCCTCGCCCCCCTCCCTCTGCCCCTCCATTCCCACTCCCCCCACTACCACCCCTATCTGCACCAGCACCACCCCTGCTTCCCTCCGGTGCCCCCCTCCCACCACCACCAGACCCTCCCTCGCTAACCATACTTGCTCGTCCACCCTCACTGCTTCTGCTGCTGGCGCTAGCGTTGCCAACGCTACCGCTTCTGCCACTGATGCTGGCACTACCATGGGTGCTCATGCTGCTGCCACCGCTGCCGCCAGTGCTGGCGCCAGCAGATGAGCGAGGGATCACCAGAGGCGTGGGGGGAGAGGGATTCACTCGAGATGAGGAGGAGGGAGACGAGGAGAAAGGGGGTGAAGAGGACGAGGAGGAGGGGGTGGAGGAGGAGGGGGCGAGGCGGGAGGCGGCGGGTTTGTGGAGGGGGGAGGGTGGGGGAGGGGCGCGGCGGAAGGAGAGGCCCCAGCGCCAGGCAGCGTAGGGCAGGGCGGTGCTGTTGGGGTCCAGGGCGTATGGCAGCAGGTCGAGCGTGCATATGGGGGCGAACTTGGGGAGAATTTGAACCTATGAGGGGAGAATTGCAGGGGCGGGAGGGGATGGAGCATGCCAGGCAATAGAGAGTAAGGCGGTGCTGTTGGGGTCTAGTGCATATGGCAGCAGGTTGAGCGTGCATATTGGGGCAAACTTGGGGAGGATCTGAACCTGCGGATGGGTTGATTGTTGGGGAGGGAGGGAAGGGCGCAACAAGGGTATTATGAGGCGCCTCACAAGCAGCGTAGGGCAGGGCAGTGCAGTTGACATGGAGGGCTTTTGAGACGTCTTAAAAGGCAGTGCAGTTGACATGGAGGGCGTAGGGCAACAGGTCGAGTGTGCATATGGGTGAGAATTTTGGAAGGATCTGAACCTGTGGATGGGTTGTTGGAGAGGGAGGGGAGGGGCGCAACACAAGCAGCATAGGCCAGGTCCGTGCAGTTGAGATGAAGGGCATAGGGCAGCAAGTCGGGCATGTATATGGGGGAGAACTTGGGTTGGACCTAAACCTGTGGATGGGTTGATGGGGGGAGACGGGGGGAAACACGAGAGGCTGGAACAGAACTTAGGGAGGATCTTCCAAGATTTCTCAAAAGTGATACAAGTATAGGCGGGTGGGTTCATGGGGAGAGAAGGGGGAATATGAAAGAGACACAGGGAGAGAACTTTGGGAGGATGCGATCGAACCTGCTGACACATGGAAAAGAAGGGGGCCGCAGGTCAGGTCAGCAATGGACGAAAGGGGAGAATCTCAAAAGGAGAGGGATAGAGTGCAGTGCGCCAGCACAGTGCAGGGCGGTGTAGTTGGGTTGGCAACGTTGTACAGTTGGGTTGGCAACGTTGTACAGTTGGGTTGGCAACGTTGTACAGTTGGGTTGGCAACGTTGTACAGTTGGGTTGGCAACGTTGTACAGTTGAGGGAGGGGAGGGGAGGGGGGGGGGGGGGGGGAGGGGTGCAGCAGCAGGTGGAGAGAGCACGTCTGTTTGCTCTCCTGAAACGTGTGTGTGCCCGGCATGCAACATAACTAACAACACATGATTCTGCACCCCTTACCAACAGCCCAGATAGATTCCTTACCAGCAGCAGCACTTTGTCTGTCACCATCATCACTTCTCCCGTTGTCATCTCCTCCGCTATCCCCTCCCCCTTCTCCCCTCCCGCTCCTTCTCCCCCTCCTTGTCTTGTTTCGGCTGCCACACCAATGCTCTTTCCGGAGCCTGGAAGTGCAATCTGCTGCGCTGGCCCTGCCGAACCTGGCTGGTAGGCTTGGGAGGCTGGTACGGAGCTGGTGGTAGCAGGCTGGGAAGGGTGGATGGGACCTGGTAACCAGGCGGAGAGCAACAGACAGCGACCACCAATCTGGACAGGATGGGGTGGGACGAGGAGAGCAGGTGGAGGGATAAGCAGGAAAGCAGAAACACAAGCAGAATTCCAAGTGGGTCGACATAAAGGGAAAGGTTTAGAAGCAGCAGCAGGGGCAGCAGCAGCAGCAGCAGCAGGGGCAGCAGCAGCAGCAGCAGCAGGGGCAGCAGCAGCAGCAGGGACAGCAGCAGCAGCAGCAGGGGCAGCAGCAGCAGCAGGGGCAGCAGCAGCAGCAGCAGCAGCAGCAGGGGCAGCAGCAGCAGCAGCAGCAGCAGCAGCAGCAGCAGCAGCAGCAGCAGCAGCAGCAGCAGCAGCAGCAGCAGCAGCAGCAGCAGCAGCAGCAGCAGCAGCAGCAGCAGCAGCAGGGGCAGCAGCAGCAGGGGCAGCAGCAGCAGGGGCAGCAGCAGCAGGGGCAGCAGCAGCAGCAGGGGCAGCAGCAGCAGCAGGGGCAGCAGCAGCAGGGGCAGCAGCAGCAGCAGGGGCAGCAGCAGCAGCAGCAGGGGCAGCAGCAGCAGCAGCAGCAGCAGCAGCAGCAGCAGCAGGTAGGGGCTGTTTGCATCAAAGCACAGTGGGCTCACTCAGGCACCTTCCTGGAAGTAGTGACAGAGTGCAGTGCAGCAGCACTGCTGTTATCCAACCAGTGGGTAGGTCTGATCGAAACACAGCCACTCACCTTTCTGGAAGTGACGTTCATGGAGCGGAGGAAGGGCAGGTAGGTGACGGAGTGCAGCAGCAGCACTGCTGGCAACTTACCAGGCAGGCAGCAGATGCGATTGAAGCACAAGCACTTACCTTTCTGGAAGTAACGTTCATGGTACGTAGGAAAGGGAAATAGGTGACGGAGTGCAGCACCACAAACTCCATCGCATCCCCCGTCACCACCTCGTAGCTCCTCGTTGCTGCTCCCCCCATGAGCCCCCCTGCTGCCCCGCTCATGAGGCTCGTCGCCCCACTCACCAGCCCCGCCCCAAAATCACTCCCCATGCTCTCCCCCCCTCCTCCTCTTCCCTCCCCGCCTCCTCCTCCTCCTCCTCCTCCTCCTCCTCCTCCTCCTCCTCCTCCTCCTCCTCCTCCTCCTCCTCCTCCTCCTCCTCCTCCTCCTCCTCCTCCTCCTCCCCCGATTCCCCGTTTCCCAGGACCAGTGGCAGCAGCACCACCACCACCGACACCACCGCTCACACCACCAGAAGCAGCACCAGAAGCAGCACCAGCACCACTGGTAGCGATAGCACGAGCAGCAGAAGCGGGATATCCCGAGGCAGCAAAGCCAGCGTGCACGACAGCAGCAGTGTGCTCCCACACAACCTTCACCACCGGAGCCACCAAACCCCCCAACGCACTCCCCAGCCCCCCCACACCTCCCCCACCCGCCATCCCCGCCCTCCCCCCACCCTTCCTTCCCCCTCTCGCCTCACCGCCACCAGCACCACCAGCACCAGCAGCAGCAGAAGACGAAGAAGAAGCAGGGAAGCGTGGGCGGAGGGAGGAGATATCCCATAGCACTACTGCCCCGGATGCCAGCCCTGCTGCGAGCAGATCAGCTGCTGGGGAGAACGCCAGCACAGACACTGAGGAGCCGCCCTGCCTCATTGGGGAACTGGCAAAGGCGGACAGAGGGGGAATTAGCTCTGTGATCCGGGCAGGAGCAGAAGCAGGGGTGAACTGATGGGGGAAAGGGGAACCTTGCAGGACCGGTTGTAACACAGGCATGAGGAGCACCTTCCCTCCTGCCGTCCCCACTGCCACCAGCAACTCGTGCACTGCCACTGCTGTGGCGGACCGCGAATTGGTCCGGAAGCCTGCTTCGGGTTGTCCCGGACCTGCTGAGTCGGTTCGGTCGGGAGTGATGTCAGCGGGTGCCAGCTCGGCGCAGAGGGGCGGCACGGCGTCGACTTCTAGTAGGCCCACGGCGGGCGGGCCTCTCTCAATGCCCTCAAAGCGGATTCGGACGAGCGGGACCGATGATTGCTCCACTGCTGCTGCTGCTGCAACAGGTGCCGCTTTTTCGCCTTCTGCTTCTGCTACTGCTTCTGCTGCTGCTGCTGCTGCTGCTGATGGTGATCGTGCTGCTGGTTCTGCGGTTGCCAGTTCACCACTAGATGGTAACCCCCTTGGTGGTTCTGTCACTGCTGCTCCGGCTTCTGCTGCTACTGTGACGTTTGTGCCCTCCTCGCCCGTCCCTCCTTCCTTCACCACACCGTCCTGCCCGTCCTCACCCTTCCTCCACCCCACCAGCAGCTGTAGCCTCTCCTTCTCTTCCATAGCCGCCAGCTCATCCCTCCCTTCTCCCTCCTCCCTCCCCCCCTCCTCTTCCTCCTCAGCAGCGCCAGCAGAAATGGCAGCAGCAGAGGCAGCACCAGCGGCAGCAGAAGAAGCACTAGCAGCAGCGCCAGCAACAGCAGCACTAGCAACAGCAGCAGAGGTAGACGCAGAGGAAGGAAGTGGGGCAACCCAGAAGCTCCGCAGGCTCTGAAACTCACCCGCCAGGGCTGCTGCTGATACTGCAGCACAGTCGTCGTTCCCCATACCCCTGCCTTCACCTTCCTTCTCCTCCCACTGCATTTCATCCCCCTCCACCACCTCCTCCTCTTCCTCTTCCTCTTCCTCTTCTTCCTCCTCTTCCTCATCCGCTTCTTCCGGTTTCTCCTCCACCTCCGCTATTTCCTCTTTGTCCTTCTCGCCTATCTCACCGCTCCGGACGGCACTCGTCCGTGTGCCGGCACCCTCCTCTTCGATCACTTCCTCCTCTTCCCTCGCCTCACCCTCTACCTCCCGTTGGCCTTCACCAAAGGCACCAGCTGCACCAGCACTACCAGTGCCATCAGCAGTACCGTCTCCACCAGCAATGACAGCGCCAGCAGTATGAATAGTGGTAGCAGCAGACCTATCGGCAGCAACTGAGAAAACAACACCAGCAGAGGCACCAGCGACACCAGCCGCAGCACCCACATCAGCAGCATGAGTCACCGTTTCCACAGAGGGAACTGCCGCTTGCATTTCAGCTGCCACTGAACCCACCGGCTCTGCTGCTGCCGCATCCGCCATTGCTGCTGGCCCAGCTACAGCAGCAGAGCCTGCTGATGCACCACTGGCAGATTCATCTGCTGCGGAAGCAGCTGAAGAGGCAACCGTGCCAGCATCAGACACAGCCGAATGAGCAGAAAGAGCAGAAGCGGAATGAAAAGCCGTAAGAGCAGAAGACCCTCCTTGATTCAGCCCCTGAGCCTGGGTCAAGAGGGCTCGGCGCTGCGCCGCTGCAGCTGCTGCCACCTCTGCTGCAGCAAACGCTGCTCCTGGCCTGATCCTAGGCACCCCACCTCGTGACCGACCCCCATGCCCATACCGACTCCCATGTCCAATCCCATGCCCATGCCTGTGCCCGTGCCCATGCGCATGCCCATGCTCGTGCCTGTGCAATCTTCCCTCCACGCTCTCCCCTCCGTACCCTCCAAAAGCTGATCCGCCAAAAGCAGAATCCCCACTGCTCCCCGCGCCAGATAGGGCCGCACTGCCCCGCCCACCCAGCACACTCACAGGGCAGGAATTCCCGCTCACAACAGACAAATCTCCGAAGCTACTGCCCGTGGCTCTGCTTCCCGAGCTTCGGGGGCTGTCTAAGGATGCCGAACCTACTGCATCCACCCAACTTGCTCCTGCCTCCCCTTTCGCTTCACCTCTTCCTCCTCCTCTCTCGCTCTCAATTCCTGTTCCTCCTCTTGCTGCTAATGCCCTTGCCCCATCTCCTCCTGCCTCCCGTTGTGCTTTGCCTCCTCCTATTCCCCTTTCTGGAACGTCTGTGGGAGTCAGCTGCTGCTGTTGTTGCTGGGTTTCTCTGCCAACTGTCACCCCTCCGTCCCCTTCAATTGTGTCACGAATCTCTCTCATCATTATCACACCTACTCCCTTATTGTCACTCCTCTTGTTGTCACTGCTCTTCCACTGCCCAAAGGACGGCTCCCGCACATCACACCGCATGCCCTCTCCCTCCTTCCCCTCGCCCTCCTTCCCCACTCCACCTTTCTCCACCTCCCCCTGCTGCTTCTCCTTCCTGGCCCCCTTTTCCTCACGCTCATCTGCACCATGCAGCACAAAAGTCGGTCTAAGTATGGCATTGAACGAAACGGAATCGGAACTTTCCTCCCCCTGCAAATCCTCCAGGCTGCGTCCGTTTATTGCCACCCCTTTAAGCTGGCCTTCGATCCCCTTTCCCTGGTTCATCTCCATCCTACCGTTTTCCCACTGGCCGAACGACAGATCTCGACCGTCCAAAGACTGAGGGCTTCCAGGGCTTCCTGATCCACCCGGGCCACGTGGCAACGAGCCATTGGACGCGGCTGAAGAGGGGCCTAGAAGGACTGTTGGCTGCTCTCTTACAGAAGGGGCAGACTCTAAACGAGGTACAGTCAGAGAAAGATTGCTATCCCCGTTAGAAGGTAGAACTGCTGCTGCAACTGTCGAATCATGAACAGAAACGCCAAACTCGGGTGTATTTTCCAAGCTTTCCACGCCAGCACCTGCCACGTCATCGTCGTCATCCGACACGTCATTCAGGATCTCCTCCAGGCTGCGTCCGCCCCACAAGCCCTCCTCGAGATCGTCCCCGTCATCCAGCTCGTCGTCGTCGCTCGCCGCCGCGAGAAGCGCGTCAATATCGATGTCGAACTCCTCTTTACGCTTCGGTTCTACCTCTTTACGCTTCATCGTCGCTATGCTCCGGCCTCCGTCGTAAATCTCAGCGCCAGGATCTAACTCCGCCCCTGTATTCTCCTCAATTCCCTTTCCCGTAGCGCGCTTGCCTTCCTCGTCGTCCAATCCCGGACCAGCCATGTCATAGCATATAGTTCGCGGGTCGTGGAAAATACTCTATTCTCTACACCCCAACAATCCTAGCATGCTGAATTGCCCTAAGTAAGCATGTAAGGCCGTGTCGCGCTATGTACGCCTACGCTGCTGTCATGATGCTGTGGTGATAGTGAGGAGGTATCGCCTGACTGGGTTGACTCGAATGCCCAAACAATACAAGCGATGGGCTGTGTGTTGCCTTGGGAATGCCGAGCTGCACTAGCAGCAAAAAAACTTGTACGTATCTTTAGTAGCTGCTCCGCTTGTGGAACCTAAAAGGCTTGCGCTAACACTGTTAGCTGCCACGCACTATGGGGTGAATAAATCGTATCTAATTCACAGCCGACAGCTGTGCAGCCCACTCCACACCCCGTGAGCAAGTCGACATGAAAATTGTTAGAATAACCGAAAGGTTACTTAGGCATTCCCGAAGTATAGCACCAGCGCATTAGCCTCGTATAGAAGATGCACATCAGGGCCCAAATTTGATGGTAATATGCCATATTCTCTCATATACAAATACAACCTAAAAGTATTATACTCCCTACTGTGAACCTTACTCTAGCCTACCATGCATATATGTATACATATATATATAGGCTAAGTGAGGGGCAACAAAACGAGCAAAAGAGACAAGCGGTCACAAGACCAATCAATGAAAGCAACAAGGCAAGCCAAACAACTTGGGTTGGCACGACTAGCCAGCCTCTGAGATAAGCTGCCACAAGGCCAGTTCAAGAGTACACAAGCACGAATATCTATATAGAAAAACAAGCAGAGCAAGAAACAAGAGGCTCTCAGAATACTGAACAAGAATGAATGAACTATGAATGAGTTGGGTACAAGTACTAACCCTAATTGGGTTGAACCCCTTATGGGCTACCCCACTACAGCCTACACAATGTAAGCACTATAACATTTTGACACACCCCCATAGACAAAGTGGGGGAGAACAAGTGGTCACAAGACCAGTCAAGAAAAACAAAGCAAGCTCACGGTGGATCACAAAGTCACCACACATTCTGAGCACAAGCAAATGGCCACAAGGCCAGTTCACATGCGGAGTTATATATAAAAGAGAACAAACAGTACAGTGATAATACCCTAGCAAGTGTAAGCATGCAAGCATATATATAGATCACAGTAAAAGCAAAGTCACGTAGTGAGCAAGTGAGGCAAAGTAGGCACAAGGCCTAAAACAGTACAGAAACGCTGATGATCACCAGACTGAAGTGCCTTGGTGAATGTATCAGCAGTGTTGGCCCGAGTGGCCACGTAAGCAAGACGAAGCTGACCACGCTGCTGCAATTTGTGAAGAAATGAGGAATGAATTGACTAAGGGAAAGTTGGGTACAAAAGCAAACCCTAGAAAACTGTACCCCATATGTGCTACCCCACTATAGCCTACAGTAGCTATGTCATATAAATCTGACACACCCCCATAGGCAAAGTGGGGGAGAACAAGGGGTCACAAGACCAGTCAAGCAAAGCAAAGCAAGCTCAGGGTGGATCACAAAGTCACCACACATTCCGAGCACAAGTTCAAGGCCACAAGGCCAGTTCACATGCAGGATTACATATACATATAAGGCTAGACAAGCAAGAGCAGGTGTATATATATATGCAACAGTATAAACAAGGTCAAGGGGTGAGCAAGTGAGGCAAGGTAGGCACAAGACCCAGCTGAGTACAGAAGCGCTGATGATCACAAGGCGCAAGTGCCTTGGTGAAGATATCAGCAGTGTTGGCCTCAGAGGCCACGTACGCAAGCCGCAGCTGACCACGCTGCTGTAGCTCACGAGCAAGGAAGTAGCGGAGAGCAATGTGCTTCGTTCTGTGCTCCAGTCTCTGCTCTCGACACAAGGCCAGCATGGCCTTGTTGTCTACGTACAGCACTGGAGGAGAACGAGGCGGCTCTCCGAGGTCAGTCAGCAGGTAGGTGAGCCAGCGAAGCTCCTGTGCAGCCATGGCCCCGGCGTAGATCTCAGCCTCACAACTGGAGCCGAGAACAGAAGACGAGCGGGTAGCCCGCCACGAAACAGAGCCGGAACCAAGGCTGAAGGTGTAACCCTGTGACGACCGCTGCGTAGCCTGGTCGTCAGCCCAAGAAGCGTCTGCGTGCCCAGTGAGGACCACTGGACTCTGCCCTCCAAGCACAAGCCCCATGCCCGACGTACTGCACAAGTAGCGCAACACCCTCTTCGCTGCAGCCATGTGCTCCGGTCTGTGTCTCCCAGGAGCAACATAGCGTGCAAGAATGCTAAGAGGGTATGCAAGGTCAGGTCGTGTGCAGGTCATCAGGTACATGAGGCAGCCAACAAGCTCTGGGTACGGGCCACTCGACTCTACGGACTCATCCGAAGGCAGAGCTGAGAGCGAGTGGCGAGTAGGCAGAGGAGTGGCCTGAGGCGAGGAGTACGTGAAGCCGAAGCGCTGAAGGACCTGCTGCACCATGTGTGACTGAGTCAGGGTAATGGTGCGGCGTGCTCTGTCCCGGGTGATCTGCAAGCCAAGGTAGCTGCGCAGTTCACCCAGGTCTGTGCACGTGTGTCTCTTCTGCAGCTCGGACTTCACGTGGGCGAGTCCAGCAGTGTCAGCTGTGGCGAAGACCAAGTCGTCGACGTACACGAGGATGTAGAACGGCGGCAAAGAAGTGTCGGTGCGCAGAAACAGCGACGGGTCAGCAGTAGAGGGAGCAAACCCAAGAGCCGCAAGTGTAGTCCTCAGTGTGTCGTGCCACTCACGCGGTGCCTGGCGGAGACCGTAGACTGGCCGCCGGAGGCTCCACTGGGTGCCAGGAGGAAAAGACCCAGTGAAGCCAGGTGGGCGACGCAGCCAGATCTCCTCGTGCAGGCTGCCCTGCAAGAAAGCAGTGCTGAAGTCAAGAGAGTGCAGCTCGTAGTCGCGGTGAGCAGCTATGTGCAGCAGTACCCGAAGAGTGGTCATCTTCGGGGTGGGAGAGAAGGTCTGAAAGTAGTCAACTCCCTGCCGCTGACTGAAGCCACGAGCCACGTAACGCGCCTTGAAGACAGGCGGAGAACCCGGCGGCCGCTTCACCCTGAAAATCCACATGCCACTGACGATGTTCGCCCCAGGCGGGGGAACCTCGTCAACGTAGGTGCCTGTGGACTTCCAGGAAGCCATCTCTGCGTCCATAGCTGCCTGCCACTGAGAGGAGTAGGGACCCTCTATCGCCTCCGCGTAAGAGCGCGGAGTCGGGATGTCAAGTTCATCCGGGTCTCCCTCAGGGGTAAGCAGTACGGACACGAGATGAGGTGAAGCAGCAGCCAAACACTGGAACTCCTCCTGCCTGTCCTCAAGGACGTCCGTGCCAAGGGCACACTCACCCCCGACGGACGGAGGACAGACAGACTCAGACTCAGCAACAAGACTAGCAGCGTAGTCTAGACGACAGCGAGCAGCAAAGTCGACGAGCTCAGTAACTAGGGCAGACGCAGCAGTGGACTCAAAGGAAGGGTCAGTGACAACAGTAGCAAGGAGACGCGTGACAGTAGGACTGGCAGCACGAAGAGAGTCCGACTCCGTGTCAGGAAGAGCAGGAAGAGAGGACTCAGGAGGAGAAGGCAAAGGGGCACGCAGAGGAGCAGTGGACGGACGCAGAGACATCCGGTGCGTGCCAGGGACAGGAGGAGGACGCTGACGCGAACCACGACCACTAGTGCGAGCAGCACGGACAGGCGACGCAGGGCGAGACGCAGGCTCACGACGCTCAGCAAGACCTCCAGTAGGACCAGTGTAGGGAGAAGGAGCGGGCAGTGGGGAGGGCGGCTGTAACTGTAACTGTGACGGGACAGGCTGTGGACACTCTAAGGGAGGAGGAGGACCAGTAGAATGCGGGAGACCAAGAACCTGCTGAAGGAGCGGAACGAAGTACGGCCTAGGCCGCGCGGCGACTCCAGACACAGCAGGGACAGCACCAGTACCCCCAGCGGCAGCACCAGCGCCAGCAGCACCTCCAGCTCCAGTACCTCCAGCAGCACCAGTAGCACCCCCAGCAGGACCGCCTCCAGGACCGACAGCAATAGCCTCAGCGCCAACACCCTCAGCAGCTCCAGCTCCAGTCGTACCCGCAGGCCCAGCAGCTCCAGTACTCCCAGTACGAGCACCTCCGGGACCCGCGGCACCAGCACCCGCAGCAGCCGAAGAACCTCCAGCTCCAGCAGCACGCCTCCAGCGCCGGGCAAACCACTCGCGCAGCTCCTGTGGAGAGAGTGGCTCCCGCCGAGACGAAGCACCCGGAGAACCTCCAGGCTCAGCACCGCCAGACGCCACACGAGCAGGCCCAGCTCCCTCAGGCTCCGCACCCCCAAGCTCAGCACCTCCAGGCGTGGCACCCCCAGGCTCAGCACCCCCAGGCGTAGCACCCCCAGGCTCAGCACCCCCAGTAGTAGCACCCCCAGGCTCAGCACCCCCAGGCTCAGGACCCCCAGTAGTAGCACCCTCAGGCTCAGCACCCCCAGGCGTAGCACCCACATGCTCAGCACCCCCAGAGTCAGCACCCCCAGGCTCAGCACCCTCAGCAGCACCAGAGTCACCAGTAACCTCGACAGGCTCGACTGCGTCTACCTGGGACACACCTGAAGGGGCAGGACCCTGAGGGGGGAGGGGGTCTACCGGGGGGGGACCTGGTACAAGGAAGAGCGGTGGCGGGGGGAGGGACGGAGTGCGGTAGGGGAAGAGGCGGTAGTAGGGGACCGACTCGTCAAACGTGACGTCCTGGGAGGACAGAACACGGCGAGAGGTGGGGTGGTAGAACTGCCACCCTGGCGCGTCAGGGGGGAAGCCAAGGAAGACGCAAGGAGCAGCACGAGGGGACAGCTTGTCCGCAGACAAGTCGC